CCACTTATCATCTCACAGTAGGTGAGAAGTCCAGACACAGCTGGCTGGATTGTCTCTTCACAGTCTCATGGGGCTGAAATCAATAGGCCAACTGGGCTGTGATTTCATCTGGACTTCAGGGTCCCAATTCATATGGTGATGGCAGAATTTAGTTCTTTGTGGTTGTAGGACTGATACCTCCATTTCCTTGCTGCCTATCAGCTGGGGATGCCTTTGACTTCCTAGAGGCCCTGAGCATTCCTGATCACATACACAGCTCTCTGGGACATTTACAACATAGCAGTTTGATTCTTCTTTGGGACCAGAAGGGCATTTCTCTGACTGCTTTCTCTGTGAAAGGCTGGAGAAAACTCTCTGCTTTGAAAGGGCTCACCTGATCAGGTCAAGCCCACCCCAGGTAATCTCTCTTCTGCCACATGACGTATCAAGGGAGTGACCACCCCATCATACTCAGAGGTCCCACCCACATCGCCGGAAGAGGGATTATGCAGGACAGGTACACCAGGAGGAAGAAATTGTGGGGCCATCTTAGAATTCTGTCTCCCCCACTATGCTCTAGGGAAAAAAGGCAACACGCCCCCGCTCCAGGCAGTGCACAGAGTGTGCAGAGGAGCAGTTAACAATGGCCCTAATTCTGTCCCATCAACTCCACAGGGCATAGTATGACAGAGAGTCACATTCTTTCTTCTCGGCAGGCTGCTTTCTCTGCCTGGCCAAATCATTACTTTCAGTAGTGCAAGTGGGTTGCTCGATGGAATCATTTACATTCAAAACGACATCAAGCTAACATGATGCTTTTAGATCGAAATTCATTTAAGGGCAAGGCCTCAAATATCAGCCCAATAAAATGATTTCTTTAGTGAAAGGAAATAAAGAAACGTGCAGAAAAGAGTTAACATAGCAGGCACGAAACTGCTATCCTTAGGAAGGCCTGCTTGCAAGACAGGCCCTCGGCTGGCACCTGAGAACTTAGATTTGGAGAGGGTTTTCACCACCCTGGGAGAGGGGCTGACTGTGCCTGAATGGTGTGCAAACAATATAGTTTGTGCTGAACTCCTGGAATTTCGGTATGTGCTAGGCGGAGGGGACACGCACGGGTAGGCCCCAATAAAAACCCTCGGCGCTAAACTTCTAATGAGCTTCCCCGGAAGACAATATGTCGCATGTGTTACCATGACTCATTGCTAGGGGAATGAAGAGATCCTGCGTGACCCCACTGGGAGACTCTTTTGGGAAGCTTGCGCCTGGTTCTCCTGGACTTCAACGCATGTGCCTTTTCTCTGTGCTGATTCTGCTTTGTATCCTTTTGCTACAATAAACCATAGCTGTAAGTAGGACTATAGGCTGAGCTGTGAGAGTTCTGCAAATCACTCAACCTGGGGGTGGTGTTGGTGACTCAAGAAATAAAGTAAATGACAGCATTACATAATGTTCACAATGAGTCCAGGCGCCGCTGCTCCGCAAACTTGGCCTTCACCCTTTCCATCATGAAGATGGTCAGAGTAATAGCCTGCAGGCAAGAGGCTCCTCGGAGGCGTGGCACCGTCTAGACATGTTCCAATTCCACACTGTGACCTGGGACAAGCTACTTAACATCCATCTCTCCCTATTTCTTAATCTGTAAAATAGCAATAATAATAATAATACTCACCTCATGAATGAGGCAATTCATACGAAGAACTGAGCCCTGGCACATAGAGACTAAGAGAGATCGGGTGTCATTCTCTGTGGCGTGGAATCACTAATATTAACTCCCTTTCTTTGCTTCAATCTGCTCCCTCTTCCTCCCCAGCCCCTTTCCTTCCTTCTCTCAGTTGTGCTCTAAGCTCCCTCACATCCGAACCATTTCCTCCCCCCAGTTTATGACCTTTCCTTAAGGTCTAAGTGAATACAATATGCAGACATGTTCCTTTTAAATGTGCCCTAAAAAGGGCAGGATATGGGTTGTCATTAGGGTCCAGTCCTAGCTACACTCAACATCTTTCAGTTCCATCTACTATGTCTTACAAGCGTGTGTGAGTAACCCTTACGGGTCTCACTGATGTAATCTCACTGCTTTTGACAATGGTAAGTGATTGTCACATATACAACTCTGCAATTTTATTTTCATGACTTTGTAAGGCCTACCATGTAAATATATTCATGAATTGGGAGAAAAAAATCCTTTGATAAGTTTTTTTTCCCCAATATTTGGTTCAGAATATTTGTTCCCTGAAATACTGGACTTCAAGATATAAACGGGCTATTTTATTTTTCCAGTGGTATATTTAAAACACAGTTTCAACAGACATGGAAACTTCTACCTGTAACTTTTGAGTCCTCGGTGGATCGTTTAGATAGTCTTTAGATATTACAACAGAAAAGGCTATGATAGGGTTGATGATCGCACACAAGCAGAGGAAGGTAGATGTTGGTATCTGGAAGCAGGTTCCTTTGATGGGGAGAGGTTTGGGAGAAGCCTGATGAGCACAGTCTCTCTGGTAGTTTAATGAGACACCAGCCTTAAACCAGACAGTGCGTGTACAGGGGTTGGGAATGAGGAGGAAGAAAGGAAATCAAACTAGAAGTTCAAAACTTCATTGTAAATCAATTTAATAAAGGAAAGATGTCAAGAGAAAAATCAAAACAAAAATAGAAGACCAAAACCTTGATATTTACAAATGTTTCCTAAAGCCACCGGGTCCATCCCTCTTCCCTCATCTTTCATCCCTTAACACCTTTCCTAGGTACAATCCAGGTGGGATTATATTCTGGTCAACTAGGACATGTGTTTTTCTACCCCACTGAAGATTCAAGAGGACTCCTTGGTTGATATCCACTTGGCTATCATAAGAATGAAGCTGACCACCACCTATTTTATGGGTTTGCTTCTCTCCTTGGCAGGCATGGAAAAGAGCCCCTCACCACCACATTTCTCGTAACTTCTTCACTAAGGCTAACACTCAATTATAAGCAGTAACGGGGAGATGAGAAACTAACTCTACACTCCATAAAATTCATCAAAGATTGAATAATCAGAGGCCTTCAACCTTTGCCAGCACAATTCTCTTATCAAACCCACTGAAACATAGCAAAATTAATTAATTAACTTCAATTTCCAGCTTTTATTTTTCTCAACTGACTTCTGCTTAAAGTTTTAATTAGAAAGTAAGTGTCTAGATGATCAGCA